GGAAGGCTAGCTAGAAATGAGATTATTGAATTCATGGCAAATCTTGAGGTCAAAGATGGAAGATTCACCACCCTAGTAAAAGGAGTTCAAGTGACATTCGACGCAGAGAAGCTGGGAGAGATTCTTGACTTCCCTGCTGAGGGATATGATGACTACACTAGGCAAAGATGGACTAGTCTGGATTCCCTTCCTCTTGCTCTTGAAATTACTAGGAGATTCTATGATGTTGAAGAAGTGAATAAGGCCAAGTTTGTGCACAAGAGTGAAATGAAGCCACAGCACNACTCGATCGCAAAATTTGACCGAGCGAACCATCTGTGCTTATCAAAACTATTATAACTTCAAACTTTATATGCAACAAAGCAATACTTTAATCAAATATTTTTAATTCATTTGAATATCTAAAATAAACCAACTCCAAAACTTTATTCGTAATAACTACTGAAATACTTCAAAGTTATTATGAAAATACCTGAGTCTTAACCCACACACTGTGTTTATGAACCCTCTACTAATAAACTAACGTACTGCTCAGAACATGAGATTTCCTAGCTAGTTCTCCAAGTAAACAAAGAAATAGCTAAATAATGATGACTCAAAGGAATACTCCATAAATAAAAGTGGAGCTCACCAATAGCACTGGAAGTGAGGGAACACTACAAGAAATATGAGCTATGGCGACATTAAATAAATGTCGTATTAGGTCACATAAATGTCACATAATCAATTACCGACGTTTATTTTACATTTATGCTAAATGTCGGAAATTTCAATGTCGGAAATTTTCCGACATTTAAGTAAATGTCAGTAAATGCTTAATGACATTTATCTACTGACTTTTTATCAAATGTCACCCATTTGAGTTCATAACCATATAATTTGTGACATATAAAAAAATATCAGCAAATTATTTATAAATTAAAAAAAATATAGATGCACGGTTAAAATTGAAAACAATACATTTATTATATTTCCTTTTACATACAATATAGAAAAGAAGAAAAAAACAAATATATTTATTTGCTCTTCGCAATACCGCAAACATTCACATTCATGTCAAAAGTTTCAAGTGTCATACACCACAGATAATTTAAATGAATTTAAAAACAATAGTCCAGTACAGTATATACATAATTGTAACTTTTCTCTTTGTTAACATCTTCAAAATAGCCTATACAATTTGAAGCTTTAGTGTCCGTGTTCTTTGATGAAGAAGCTTTGGTATCAGTATATCACCACGCCAAGGATTCACCCACACTATAGTAGCTCACATCCTTCAGAAGTGTTGTCTCCAATAACTGAAAAGAAAAGAATTATACTAAACTAGTTAGGGAACGATAAAAAAAACAATATTAAAAAAGTAAGAAAAGCATTAATAGAGGCACAATGGCCTTGTTGCCTTTGCGACATAGTTTTAAACAAGATAATGCACCAAACTATTTGTTTAGTATAGATTGTGACACATGATAAACCAACAGAGGCAATGCAAGTAAACACTAGTATAACAAGTACAATTGATTACCACACAAAAGGGTACAGAACAAAGTAAATGATCAAGCTGAAACAATATACATAACAATTTCAAAGGGATAACCTAACAACCTGATAGGATAGATTAAAAGAAACAACCAATCCGGAAGATTAAGTGGAACTTGGAAGCAACATAGCCTCAAGTGGACTCCATGTAGTTCAATCAGCGAGTTGGCCTCTAAATAAACATGGATAATAAACAAAGATTACATACACACATGAACCTCTAATGGATTCTTTATCATCTATCAGCAATATCTCATCTATCGGATTGTGGCACACATATATGAAATAGGATATATCAACTATCCAGAATTCATTCATATCCAAAGTGAATGAATCACAAACCCATTTTTTAATATGAACAACCCATAATTTCAAATTAAAAGAAGAAAAATTAATTGAAGATTCCTAAAAGTCTCAATAAAAAACCTCGCACCGATTACATTGACTTGAACTATGGATTCTCCTTCTGGCAAGGTCACAAGACTACGAACTTCGAATGTCTTGAAGGTGAAGAAGTCATTGACTGCATATTCGATTTCAGTTCGATTTGAATTTGTTCACAGAGGTTTGGAAGGGATCTCCTAAAGAGGCGAGAGAAGAGAACGGAGGTGGAGGTTGCCATCACCTATGATTCTGTAAAATATGACATAAATAGCATAGCCCCTTTCGAGCAAGATGAATAGAGAATGATGGATGTTGTCTCGTAGAATTTAGGGTTTCATAGGAGGACGGTTCTGAAAGGGGGCTGGAGATAGGGAAAATAAAAAGAAAGGAATGAGCGATTTAAATTCAATTGCGTATAAAATTTCCCACTGTTTGCTGCAAATGTCGATAAACATAATGAAAAATACATCATTTGAATCAAATGTCATAATATTTAATGACTTTTCTTGCTAAATGACGTTCATTTAACCACATATTGCTCTAAATGTCAGAAAAGTAACTGTTTAATGACATTTGTTATAAATTTCATCAATTAAATGTGGTTGTAGCCTATATTTCTTACAGTGAGTGCCTTGAAAGTGGAAGGCAAATCAACTGGCATGCATTCATCATCAAGCTACTGGACAGGGCCATAAATGGCTCCAAAGCCCATGCCACCCCCTATGGATTTATTCTGACTACTGTTTTAGATCGATGAAAGGTGCCTCTGAAGAAATGGGAAATGGCCACAAGCAAGGAATACTTTGGAATTAATACTCTGATTTCTTGTGACTATCTAGTCAGTGTCATTCCAAATAAACCTAGTTCATCCAAGAAGACACTTGTCAACAAAAACGTCAGGGCTTTAGTTCAAGAAAGTGAGGCCAAGGATGTTGAGATAGCTAGGCTGAAGGCTAGCTTAGCAGAGGTTGAATCTGAGAGGGATGCTCTCAGAACTGAGCTTACCAAGGAAAAGGAGAAGAGTGATGGGATTCTTCACAATATGATGAATCTTCTCCAAGCCCAAAACAAACCATCTAGCTCCCCCAAGCCTTAGGAATTCTAGCCTTTATCTCTTGAACCGGTCTAGTACCATCAGTGACCCAAATTAGGGATTTCTCTTTTTTTTTTTGCTCATATTTTGAATATTTTTGCTTTTTGTTTGTGGATTGTGGTAGAAACATATANATTGTGGTAGCAACATATCTTTTATCAATGATATCTACTATTTTTGCTCTTGTTGACTGTTAACATTTCCTTGATAGTTTAAATATGTTTGTCTGATCACTGATGATTAATCCATGATTGCACTTGCAGTTGCCCTATTGGCCATGAGTACTTATTAAAATCTGCGACTCGTACTTTGTTTATGAAACTTTTCGATGATGCCAAAAGGGGGAATAGATATTGTGCTTTACATATTGTGCCAAAAGAGAACACAGTTTAGGAAAGGATAAAGTTAGAGTATGAGATCAACTAGAACTCTTCCACCATGGAAGAGTACCATCTGTATCCTAGTCAATCTCTAATTACTAACCCCTTAAATATCAGTGTTGTTCTCTTTTACAGGTAATGCACATAAGCAGAATTTAAACGTGAATTAAGAGCAAAATAGCAAGGCAATTTTGCAAGCAATTTATGTGTGATTCAAGCGTGCAATCCTGAAGCTACTTGAACCAGATAGAAGAACCAGTTCCAAGTGTCTATCTTTTACTCTAATTCAATTGTAGTAAGTGATTTTACATTGTACCTTTCAGCTATTATAAAAGCAACTGTATTAGGTACTTTAGTTTTCAAGTTAGACTTAACTTGAAGTTGTCGCAACAGTTGAGGTTGTATGCCACGACGGGATTAGAGTTAATCCCAGGTTTACAAAATTTGTAAATACAGTTTTTGGATCAGTGATTTTAGTGGAGAGTTTGGGAAAATCCTANTTTTTGCTCATATTTTGAATATTTTTGCTTTTTGTTTGTGGATTGTGGTAGAAACATATATTTTATCAATGATATCTACTATTTTTGCTCTTGTTGACTGTTAACATTTCCTTGATAGTTTAAATATGTTTGTCTGATCACTGATGATTAATCCATGATTGCACTTGCAGTTGCCCTATTGGCCATGAGTACTTATTAAAATCTGCGACTCGTACTTTGTTTATGAAACTTTTCGATGATGCCAAAAGGGGGAATAGATATTGTGCTTTACATATTGTGCCAAAAGAGAACACAGTTTAGGAAAGGATAAAGTTAGAGTATGAGATCAACTAGAACTCTTCCACCATGGAAGAGTACCATCTGTATCCTAGTCAATCTCTAATTACTAACCCCTTAAATATCAGTGTTGTTCTCTTTTACAGGTAATGCACATAAGCAGAATTTAAACGTGAATTAAGAGCAAAATAGCAAGGCAATTTTGCAAGCAATTTATGTGTGATTCAAGCGTGCAATCCTGAAGCTACTTGAACCAGATAGAAGAACCAGTTCCAAGTGTCTATCTTTTACTCTAATTCAATTGTAGTAAGTGATTTTACATTGTACCTTTCAGCTATTATAAAAGCAACTGTATTAGGTACTTTAGTTTTCAAGTTAGACTTAACTTGAAGTTGTCGCAACAGTTGAGGTTGTATGCCACGACGGGATTAGAGTTAATCCCAGGTTTACAAAATTTGTAAATACAGTTTTTGGATCAGTGATTTTAGTGGAGAGTTTGGGAAAATCCTACTGGAAGGTAGGTCATCATTTTTTCACCTTTTGAGCCAGGTGTTTTTCACGTAAAAATCTCTGTGTTCTTTATTTTCTGCACTTATTATTCCGCAATAGTAGTAGTTGGAACACATAGAAGAACCAGGT